TATAGTAGTAGTAGTATATATAATATATATATTATATATATATATATATATATATATATATATGTATCTATCTATCTATATCTATATATATATAAATGTTTATGTTTATGTATGTATGTATAAATATATATATGTATATATGAAGTTTCGCAGTGCTATTTTTCTTTGCTCTGTTGCAGGCTGTATACGAAGCAAAATGAATTGTACAAGTGAGCCAAGTTTGATGACCCATGTTCAGAAGTATGTTTATCTAAATACCTACATTCTATCGCACGTAGAGGGAATGCAAATCTGACTGCCGTAAATGCCGAGGCTGCCCGGGAGCGACTCGACGGTGTAGGTGGGGATATTGAGGAAGGCAGTGAAAGCCGTTCCAAAGGTGTGCTTTTATTTTTGGTCTATGCGACACTTGTTCGTTGCGACGAATTTGCCCACTAGAACTATTGAGGACGCAGTATTGTCCTGATGGATATCACACACATAGTGATTGGAACCATTATAGCTTTAAATTGGGTACACTTTGTAGATGCAAACTCCGAGCCATCCAAGCAGAAGAGGAAAGAAATGAGGAGAGAGGCAAAGGAAGCAAAGAAACTTACAAAGGCACTGAAAAAAGAAAAAGTACGCAGGTTTTGTTGCACAGGTTTGAAGTTATCTATTGCATCTGCGAGCTTACCTATTTACCAGCTGCTGTGCGTTGTGTAAATTGAGTTTAGCACGAGTGTTCCGATGTCATTTATTTGATTACCCTTTAGATTACACTCTTGAGTTTGGACAAATACTCGGTACAATTTGTTTTCGGTATGACACATGTTGATTTATACTCTGAGCTCAAGTATTTTATCTATTCCGTTGCCTTGGTGTCGTGCCTACCTAACAGAAGCGAAATAAACGCAGCAAGCATAACAAGCACTCTTCAGACGACAGCGATTCCGAGATGGAATGGACCGAACGCACATCTGCCACCCGACAGGGCACAGAGGAGCGCCGCCTAGGATCAGATGACAGTACTTTGCGCAAGGTTAGGGAGAGAGCTCCTAGATCACACAAGGATACTGAGGGAGATATCAGTAAGCGGTCAAGGCACAGAGATGATAGAAGTCGAGGTAAAGAGCGCAGGGGCCGCAGTCGGAGTCGAAGCGAGAGTCGCGACAGAGGCAGCAGACTTGAAAGGGATAGGGACGATATACGTCGCGAAACCCACCATCATAGGCGAGGGCAAGCTGGAAATAACAGTAAAGATGGTCTTCGGAGCAGGAGTAGGAGTAGCTCGAGTAGTCGAGCTTCAAATGGGGGAAATGGAGATGGATGCGATAACACAGGTGGATCGGATGTGAAGTCAAAGCGCAGTGCACGAGATAGAGCGGGTGAGAGGGACTTTCGTAGACGTCAAGAGCACACCAACGAACGCAGTGAGTCTTATAGAGGAGATGCAGGAGAGAACACCCACCGACACTCCCAGTCGCATAGGCGACATAGAAGCAGAAGCAGAAGCCGCAGCAGAAATAGGCGAAGCATGAGTAGGGAGAGGCGGAATCGGTAGTACTCTGAATACTAGGTGGTACTTCTATGAATACACTTGATTTGTGGTGGGGATTTCGCCTAGACATCAGAAAGTAGGCTCGCATTGATATTGAGATCGCAGCAATGGACTAAAGGGTCGAAAAGTGAAGAGGACCGACATGGCACGCACCGACGACACAAGTCATATCAGAGGAATATAAAATAACAGTAAGAAATGTTTTCAATATGCTTAGGAAATGGAAGAGTATTCCTCGTGCGAAAGCAATCGAATATTAAAGAGAGATGAATAGATTGTAAATGTTTAAAAAGGAAAGCATATCAACAGACTTGTCCGTGACGAGATTCCGGTTGCAGAGGTGTGCTCATATATGTGTCATCGCAAACGTAAGAGAAGTTGAGCCATCTGGCTCCGATATTGTACAACACTGCCTTAAAATGTTTTAGGGTTTTTATCGGAATTTCATGATTTTCGTCGTTGCAAATCTGGGGCTTTGACTGGATGAATTTACGGGCTGGGAGTTGAAAAAAAAAAGTGAAATGCCAACATAGGACTTAACATGCAATGGTGTCACATTGTTTTTCATAAAAACACATTTTCCAGTGTTGATTTATTTTTTTAGCCGGTATTATTATTTTCCGATTGGCATTTTCTATTGCCAGATGACAGTGGCTTGAACGGAGAAGGCCGACGGTATTATATTGCTGATCTTTCGCCGTGACGCATTTCCATGCCCGTCGTGCGGTTTGTCTTGTTTGCACTGGATGTGCTGCGGTGGTCGTATTTGCACTACTAGCATATTTTGGTTAGACTTGTATAAAATGCACCTCACATATCTCCACCTTCGCCCTACTTCCATGTCTGTGCTTCTACTAGCTTGCCAACGCCAGTTGACATCTTTCAATAGCCTACGCTAAGATCTGATCTTCAATAGCACCTTCACTTTCCCTGAAGTAAAATCACTCAGCGATGCCACCTAGTGCAGGACATCCTTCAGTGGCAACTGTTTGTGTCCAAGAATATGCTCCATAGCGCAGTGCAAACGATACAGGCTTCTTTTTGCCCTGTGGAGTATGTCTAAAAAGTGTGAGACTTGCAGGAGAAACGATAAGGGTCTGCGGATGGGAACGGAATTGCTTCATAGGGGGAAGGCAGTAGTCGATATGAAATTTTTGACACTACCGACAGACTCGCAATGTTGTTCTTCAAATACACCAAACCTGGCTATACACCTATCGAGTATCCCCGCCCCGCTCTCTGGGCCCTACCAACTGGGAGAGACCTCCTGTTATAGTAGCGGCTCTACAAAGGGTAAAAGTGGCCACTACTCCACAAACGCATCGTGCATTATTGACAGCCTGCGATGTCTAGAACTCCAGACAATGACATCTTTTGTACTGTTTCTGAACTCAGGACTATACATCTCCTAGTCCACGCGTACCACCGCGCGAGCGATCTTGTTGATAATATCTTTTTGCGAGAGAACACCGTCACCATCTACGTCTATTGAACCGAAGACCTGGAGGAGCTCGTCGATATCCTCTTGTTCGCACTGCAGAAGTCAATATGTACAGAAACACGACTGTGTGAATACCTTGCTGCGTAAAATCTGCATGTGCGCCTGCGAGTGGGAACTGAATCCAGAATATGGACTAAATGGTTCTAGGGCCTGAGATGCATCAAACCCGGAATGTTCCTGTTAGAAAAACGATGTCTTATATCCACACCTCTTATGCACTTTTGTACTGTGGTGTATTTCTGTAATCTTTTGATGGAAGAGACTATATCTGAACACTTACAATTTCAAACAGCGCCTGGTGGGCACACACCTTCTCCTGTTCGATGAGCATGTGTATTAGAAACTCCAGCTTCGAAACTTGTCCATCTTTGTCAGTATCCATGCTCTCGACCATTTCACGCGTCACACCCCCCGCCTTAGTCTGCGATTGATGAACCGGGGTATTACATTCAAATTATATACGACTGTATTCAAACCGAGTCGATATATCACCTTTTTTTTTTGGAACAGTTTGATTAAGAGGTTCTAAATATGACTTGGCATCCTTTTTCAGCTTCCAACGCTCCACTCATTCAGTCATGACAATAGCAGGCAGTGAAAAATAAGCTTTAAGTACCTCTTTCAGGCGATGCATCAGCTGTAGCTGCACAACTTCACCCACGATATTGGACGCGGCAATCTGTGAATGCGAAGAGTTCAATCATATTGGAGCAGGGTTCAGACATAATTTGGGTACAGTACAATCAGATTTCAGATAATTTGTCAGATCAGGGGGGATACTATTCTGCTGAGCGCATACAATCTGCCTGGGCGAAGAGCATCACAAGAATACAAAGCTCGATAGCTTCTTATCCGGGTGCCTAACCCATATTACTAAACGGAGAAGAAATACACCATTCGCTGAGCACGTAAAACGATCGTTAAACGCAACTGGACGCTTACCGCAAATGAAATAACCCCGAAGAACATAAAGAAGATGTTAAAGATCTTCGTAGATTCATGCGTTTCCGTCAAGTCCCCATAGCCTTCCGTAGTCACCGTCACCTACCATCATAAAAAAGAATGTGCCCACTTAGATTTTGCGACTTGTAGGGCTTTTGTCGGAGATAAGGATATTGCTTTTATATTTACAATCACAGAATACTCGATGTGCATTGATGTAGAAGCACCCAGGAACAGATACAAGCACCACATAAGTATATGTGAATATTATGTTGGATACCGGTAGGTAAATCTGCAGCACAACAGCAAGCACTGCTACAATTAATACAAGTTTTTGCGACAGACACGTATATCGCAAATCTGTACAAAGAAGAAGCTATTCGTCATAGTGCAGGCACATACGACTTCAGCGTTCCTACGGCACAAATCTGAGCACAAACTACAATAGAATCATAACCACCTACCAATGCCCAATAGAAACTGTCGATTAGAGTGTGGTTCTCAAGTTTGTAGAAGCTCAGTGCCCCGATGGTCAGCAAACCAACAATCACTGCGGCATTCTGCACAATCCTGCCGTAGTAGTGGTGCTCCGAGAGCACCTCACGCTTTGCTTTGCTCTCGAAGATTAAATAAGCTGCGATAGGTGTAGTAAATTTACCCGTTTTCATGACTGAGGGAAATGCTCCTCAATATATATGATTTCTTTACTCCTCAATAAACATGATTATTATTATATTTGAAGTATACTGCACTACACAACACTAAAAGATAAACCAGTTTCTCGCATAAGAAACGAATTATATAGAGCATGCTACGATAGACAATGTATCGACGAGTTGAGCTTGTTAATTTAGAATCCTCTGCTGTGGTTTATGAAGCACTCTTACAGCGCAGCTAACATTTGGTGATGAATATAGAACACGATTTAGGACACGATCTAGTGCACGTTGACACATCGTGTAGGCGACTCGTGGTCGAAAGGAAATTTCATGCGAACAACTTGTGCGTTTTGAGGACTCTTACTTAAATTAAGATAACTGGTTTTGCACATCCACGTGTAAATATCACATCATTAATTCACAAACCAGCCCCTGGAGGGAATGCCCGACGTTGCCGGAAACGGATATGAGACACAGAAATTGCATATATAACATACTGACAGAATTTACGGCCAGAGTTGAGATCCACATCAACCAGAGTAGCACGATGAAGCACACGATAATCTTGCCGACATCAGTCTTAGGCGTGACGGTTCCGTAGCTGTACGTATTAATCCAAAAGTTATTGTATATGCCACATCTGGGTGGGGAAACAGCTCAAATGTAGATATTGAGTACCAGGTAAGTCTTCAATCGCTTGTACAGCTGTGGTCATCTCAAATCCGAGATAGCGACAAAACAAAAATACCGTCAGCAGCCCATACTGATGACTGAATCGGCACAAATACCTTGAAACACCACTCTCAAATATGCATCCATATAACCAGCATGTTAGTCTGTACTATATCAGGGGAACACAACCGCATCAAGTTTACCACAGCACACAACACTACTCGATGTACTAAAACCAGTTTAGTAAGGGGGGTTCTAGTGAGTTAAGCTCTAAGTCAAATGGACAGTGTCGCCAATTTCGTGCATGATATGAGCAATTCCAGCAAACAGCCTCTGGAATCAGAGATGAGTTCAGAAGGAGCGTATAGGTAATCAGAATCGAACCTCGCATTTCGCACACGATAATGAGACACAAAATATGTATAAATCATCTATTCAAGTACACATACCCAACGGTAAGCATAGTCGATATCGCAAAGTGGAGTGCTACTAGAAACCCTGTGAAGGTTTTCGGCTCAATCAGCATCATAAGCCCCGCAGAAGCGCATGAGAACAGTGCGCATATACCAAATCCTATGGAAGGAGTACATGTCAACGGTAAGTCTTCCTGCATCCATGCTACGAACCCAACCTCAAAAATTACGCGGGCTGGAATATACAGTCGTGGTACTCTATGCTTAGGTCGTAAATCAGTTGTGGCATCAGTGCTCTCCTAATAAAAGTTGGCTACACGCCTACTGAAATATAGAGAAGGTGGCCAGAATGGTCCCTCGAACGATGGTCGGGTCTATGGCAACTTCCAGCAGAAGTTGCATATACAACAGAGGTCTGAGAGAAACTTGTGTGCATACATTTCTGGTATCGAGGTCAAAAATTAAAAGCTCACTGCTCAGATACGCTTACACTCATAAAGTTTCATATACATGAGCATATAAATATGATAATTGTATACACACAATTTCGGGCCTAGTGAATGTACTGGTTGGTATTCTTCTAATATCTATCTGAAGCTATGGTATGTGAAACTCTCGCAGTTTTCACTAGATTTAGCTACCACTATCCTGAAACTTGGGTATAGTACAGGAAATGTACCTAGAGTTTCAACGATAATCAGCATCTAAGCTTGCTAGTTTACTATCCGCGTGCCTACTGAAGCCAAATTCACACAGTGCTCGCCGATTGGTATAAATACAAACACAATGCTATCCACTTTGATTGTAGTGGAGCAGACTTTATTCCTCTTTGCGTATGATCCATCTCGAATCATATAGCTACTATACCTGATTCGGACATGGACACTATCTGCAATTATCATGGCGCCGCTACAGTACAATTTCATTTCCTAGAGAGCCTGTTATACAGCGATTTTCAACTGCATTTATGTCAAGACATTATTATACCGAATTAGTAGCATCATATAACCCACCTTTGATATAGGGAAACGCAAGTGTCAACGGACTGCGCTCGTCAACACTGTTCGACACTTTCGTGTCGCCAAGTAAAAGGCTCTCTTCTTCCGCCGGACACTGCATTGTCTTGGTATTTCGAGGAGTAGGCGAGCGAAAAGATTGAAAATGTGTACAATAGCTAGGTGTCCATTACATATGTATGCAGGCACGAGTACACTTTTCCAGGGGCTCAAAGTTGATATGCATATACAGTTGTACACTAATCAGATATAAAGAACAGTGTTGTCATTTGTATTCAGTGCATAGATAAATTCAAAATGAATGACTGAAAAGTATGTCACATATTTCATAGCCCCCTCTGAAATGGGATTTTATACATTTTATGTTGTATTGTCTTACTACAAAAAAAAAAAAAAAGAAAGAAGAAAAAAATTGTTGTAGGGTTTAGCGATAAGTGATTATCCCTAGAAAATGTAGATATACGTAAACTCTGTAGGCCGAGGCTAGTTACCACATGAATATGGTACTGAAGAGTAGGATATATGGCTTGATCTTACGTTTTCACTTTCGTATGTTGACCGTCCATGTGTCAAAACTGCACAAACTTGTGCTGTGTGGAAGATTTTCGAGAAAAAAATACAACTTTCCATAATACACTACAGATCACGCGCGGCCAATATAGCCAATACATATACATATATACCTCAATAACACCCTCGAAAGTAGCATCGCTGTGTGGTAATCTGACAATATGGTACGCTTATCTATGAAACTGTACTTCACATACGCTGTTCGTATATATGTGCCATGCTATCGATGTTATATTCCATGTGTTAATTTTTTAGGTGAAAACACAACATGGCGCATCTAAGTACACCTTAATCGTAGCAACCGAAAGACGTCGGATTTGAGCGTTTCTGAGAGCTTAGTTCGTGTTGATATGTTTGATATTAAGTTCGGACGTATTATGCTATTATTGGTACTTTATTTAGTCGGGAGGCCTATGAGTTGACATTTATAGACCAACATCCCTGAAATCGGATATTCAGAACACCCACTGGCTCCTTGTGTTGGCGACTACCTACAGTTCGAGTGTTTGACAATCTATGTTTTCAATTTTGCAGTACTGGTTATTCAAGTTATTCTGTATTATGCAGATTAGTCAGTTGCGTCGATAGATTGGTGACTTTTTTTATGAAGACTACAAAAAATTGTGCCGAACGTCTCACAGTTGTTCGCACACGTGAAGGAGCTTTTACGGCCTTCGTGGCACTTGATTCACTGACTGTTATTGTCTATATTTCGTATTATAAAAATGTGTATGTAGTTATAGTTTTCGTGTTTCTATATCGTGCACTTGTTACTCGCCGACAACCGATTTTCTATGTATTTGAGTAGTTCACGATGGTGCTTGATAATGTATTGAGAGCTACATATCAAGCATGGATTCTCTACAGATCTTATTTGATGTTAAATTTGTAGTATTCGTCTCTTATCTTAGCGCGCATTTAGTTGTTCAGAATGTCGCCTTGCACCCTTCGTTCGCTATTGTATGTATTAATTACCATCCGGCTACATCTGATATCAATATCCGATTGAATACAAATTTGTAGCCTAAAAATAAAGGAAAAGGAGGAAAAAATCGTAGACGTGGAAAAAATGAGAATGAGCAGCAGAAACGCGAGTTGATCTTCAAGGAAGATGGCCAAGGTGTGTATTACAACACATACAAATGCATATAAAACGAAAATATATATACACGTATATATATATATATGTGTGTGTATATACACAATACATATGTGTGTACGTAAGTGTTTATAAATATTTCTATATATATATATATATGTATGTATGTTTGTTTGCCTGTATATGTATATGTATATTATAAACGTTTTTTGTACACGCATACAAGCCTAAACGTGTACACGCGTATATACATGTATATTGTATATGTGTATATATTTTATACATGTGTGTGCATGACTGTTTTTATATATAGACTGTGTACTTCTACCTATTGAGAATGTGCCGGTTGTGTTCAGACTATCTACTACGTATTTTTGTTAATTATTTCATAATGCGAACAGATGAAGAGAGTATCTCTTTGCAAGTAGTGTGTCGCTTTTTCCCCTGTAGTCGCAGAATAGCGATTGTAGTGAATTAAACCCTTTCTTCGTAGCACATTAGCGAATATTTGTGCAAGCATGTGTAGCTCTACGCATCTTACCTGAACTGCTGCACTGTAGAAATTTTATAGACGTTCCTCACGGTATCGTCTAGGCGACGAATTCAACCCTGTTTCAAACGTGCCTTTCCAAACTTTTTATTGGTTTACACCTGTTTTTGTCTTGATACAATGCCACCTTCTCTCATCCAATTTGAATCTCGCCTTGAGTGTTAGATCCCTCGCCTCAATTTTCCTTTAGTCTTGTTCCTGGTGTGTCATAAAGTGACGCTGAATTGCTAGGACACGTATTGCATATTCGTATATATTGCATGGTTGTGATTCTCCAATGGGAATATCTGAGTATCTACTATCATGAATCTATCCGAATTTTGATATGCGACCCATTTTTTTTTAATTAAGTTATCAACACTCGTAATATTTTGCTTATCTCTAAACATCGCAGAGTATGCGCAAGTGGTAAAGATGTTGGGAAGTGGACGTTTGGAAGCCATGTGCTTCGACGGCACTTCACGACTGTGTCACATCCGCGGCAAGCTGCGTAAGAAAGTGTGGATTGCTCAGGGAGATATAATCTTAATCGGCCTGCGTGACTACCAAGACGCCAAGGCCGATGTTATTGTAAAATACAATGCCGATGAGGCCCGTAACTTGAAGGCTTACGGAGAGTTGCCCGATACTGGTATGTATTCTCTCGTTTTCTGACCACTATATGGATTGTCAGTTATGATTGAAATGTATGTATGCCTGTCATATACTGCTCAATCTAAATGTGAACTGATGGTATTGTTTTATTGCGGCGTGTGTGCTGAGCTTAGCGCCTATATACGATACTTAAAATATCTCCATTCGTTTGCTACTCGAGGCTGCAATAATGTGGGCGCGACACCGAACACGCGATGAGAATGGTTCGTTTCAGATGTCATTTTTATCGCGAGTTTTGTCTGACTACACATTGTACCTTATATTTACAGCCAAAATCAACGAGACACCCGCCGATGGACCTGACATGGAGGATGATATTATGTTCGACGATAGGGAATATGATGAGGATATTGATGATGTATGTAACCTTTGTATTAGTTGTGTTTGTATTTTGCTATTTCTGGTTTCAAACGAATGTGAGTGAGTAGTGTTGTGTACCTATACTTGTCTATAGTTCTTGCGTTCTCGTTTAAGTTCGATCAATATGTTTTGTACCCTACCTTTGCTAATTATTTTATATGAATACATTCATTACTGTTTATGCTTTTATCTTACATATTTACTCGTGTATATTATTAAGCTCAAATGTGTATAGATTTATTGTATGTTTATGTTTGAATACAAGCAACATATTGGAGTGTCCGATAGGCTGGATCGAACGTATCCATCAATCTTAGCAATTAAGCAGGTGCTTTCCTATCGTCTTGCGCAAGGGAATAGTATACTAATTGAAGGCTCACGTTTCTGTTTTATCTTTATAACACGGATTTACTACTATACAAGTTGCGCAAGATTTGTTCAAAGTGTGTGCGTGAGAGTGTATGTTAGACCGTTCAAGTATATTATTTAGGATATCCAATGATCATCGTCGTCTCCCAGGCATTCAGGTGTGAACGGCTTCTCTTGACACTAAATGGATTCATCTGATCTGTCTACTCACGGAATTAATGGTTTTTGTTTTTGTTCGTTCGTGCAGATTTAAATATTTTATAGCAAACATCGTGAGATTGGAAGTTGTCTCTCGTAGTGGTGTACCCGTCCATACAAATTCCGTCTATAACGTGCGGAAATGATAAGCACGCGTCCGTCGGGTTAGACGCGACCAATTTAATGCGCCGGATCGGATAATTGCGAACTGCCTTTCGTCATTTCTATCGGTCTGCCCATGGCTGGTGTCATATGTTAGAACTAAGGCTTATTTCTCAGCCTGCGCTTGATGACATGTGCGAGGGGTACTAGTACACATTGCGGAGCCACGCTACAAATCATTTTCAATGTAGCAGAATAAAAATAGATAGTAACGAAAGGTTGTAGTACACGAGACTTTCCCTAGTTTGCTTTTGCTAATATGCGTTTTATTGGTAATTATAAACGGTCGTGTCGTTTAACGCGCTTTCTAAACCCAGGGCAATGGATGATCAGGGAACTCGCTATCATATATTTAGTCGTAAAAGTTATCAACGACAAATATATACGTATGTATGTGTATATATATTATACATCATATGATGTTTATGTTGTGTATGTGTATATATATTTTATATTCTATGATGTTTATGTATCTATAGTATATATGAATATGTATCTATGTATACATATTTTACATATACATACATACGTATACACATACAAATATACACTGATACATGTGTGTGTATATGTAAATATATCATCAGACTTCTATTTATATGTATGTATGTAATATATATATACTTATATAGGTTTTTATATACATATTTCTTTATATTTATATATTATTTACTAATTCATATATCTAAATATTGATATATATATATACGTATATGTATATATATATATATATGCATACATAATATTCATGCATATATACATTCATAAATCATGCATAAATACATACATCTATTTACGCATATACAATATATATATACTATATGTATGTATATGTATAAATCACAATATATACATATATGTGTGTATGTATATGTAATATATATATGTATATTTGTGTGTGTGTATTTATACGTATATATGTATAATATATATATGTATAATATATATATATATTGTATACATGTATATAGATATATATATATTTATTCATATATATATATGTGTGTGTGTGTGCATATATATATATATATATTATATGTATAGTGTATATATATATATATGTATTTATATATGTGTATGTATGTACATACTTATATATATATTTATTTGTATTTGTATATATGTGTATGTATAATATATATTATATGTATATATATAATTATAATTACAATTATAATTATTTATATATATATATATATATATGTACATAATATATATATATTTATATATATATAAATAAATATATATGTGTGTGTGTGTATATATATTTATATATATGTGTGTCTGTTTCTGTGTCTATGTCTGTGTTTGTATATACGCATAATATGAAGCATAAAATATTTAAAAAAGACTTGTTGATATCTGCTGTATAGAACGAATACATAGCTATACTGCAACAGCCAGCCTGGAAGACTTAAAATCACGCGTAGTACTCTGTCTTGCCCTGAAAGCTTTCCTGTATCTGAACAAGATTGCAGAATGCCGAATCTGGTTTTACTATTTATTCGTACACGTTGGTACATCCAACTATAGTATGTGCAGCACCTGCACGTTCAATTGGCGTGTGCTTGTGGCACAGGCTCGTGCAGCTCATATGCGTCATAACCTCGGGCACCTGCGACCTCTGCTTTGTGTGTTTTAGCCCAACCTACCACACCTTCCTTGTAGGTCTTCACATTTGTAAAGCCTAAATCTTTCAGCAATAATGTGCAGAAATGGGCTCGACGATTAGTCCTGCAGTAGGTTACAACGGTGGTAGATTTTCCCGGCAGTGGGAACCCATACTTACGCTCGAAAGCCCCTTCATGTAAGGCCAAGGCATCACATATTTCTTCTACTGGAATGTTTTTTGCATTACGAACTTGTCCGAAATTATTCAGTTCATCACGTCGACGTGTATCGATTAGTATGTCACCAGTCTCGTTGCTACTGCCAGTCTGATCCACTATACTATCAAGTTCGGGTGTGTCAATCCAATTAACAACCTTTTCGTCAGACGCATCACAATTACTACCTACAAAAACTGTTGCGTGCGTGTCTAGGAACTTGGATGCTAGCTCGTGTGCTTTCTTGCTTGCTTCTGTGTCGTTTGACGTGTACACAATACCGATGGCAAACTCTGACCCTGGGCGACTGGCTGTGGTAGCTACTGTATCCGCGATGCCGTCCCAACTCTTGTGCAATACGACTTCTGAAGGGGAAAGTGTATTAGTGGTATCATATACGACCGCCAAGATCGGATCGCGCTCGGCGAGGAACTTCAAAGTCGAGAATGATACCTCAAACAACATCGTATTGTACAATAGTAAATAGTCCAGAGCATAGCAGTAGTAGTAAATATATATGTACCACTATTTAGTGGTGTTCAGACCCCAGGGAGAGAGTCCTGTGACTCCAGAGTCCAGACTCCAAAAGAGTTTTTTGTTTTGTTTTGTTTTTCAGTGGTAGGTGATAGGTCACCCGTCACCATACGAAATTTTCCGTCGATTCCCGATTCCGGCGTTTCAGTTTCTGCATTTCCGAGAGCCAGAGTCTGGGACTCTGGCGGCCATGGTACTTTATTTTTTTGCTATATAGAGCTAGGAGTTTGAGAGCCAGACCCCAGAGCCAGGTCAGAGGACCTTGGTGTCTAAATTTAGAAGGCTACGGGCCTACGACCACGGTTTTTCAATTTTTTTGCCTTAGAGCTATATAGGTTCCAGTCTAAATAGCCTAATTATGAAATAAGGGTTTATATGGGCACCCTACTTTATAGATATTCATAATAGGACCATATAGTTTTATGGTATACATTTGGCCCGGGATTTCTTAACATATGTATGTATGTATACGTATATTTGTATGTATATGTATACGTATACGTATACGTATATGTATATGTATATGTATATGTATATGTATATGTATATGTATATGTATATGTATATGTATATGTATATGTATATGTATATGTATATGTATATGTATATGTATATGTACATGAACATGAACATGAACATGAACATGAACATGAACATGAACATGAACATGAACATGAACATGAACATGAACATGTAT